CGTTTAAATCTCTCATTTAAAAATCCAGTTAATTTGTTTGCAGGATTTATGTCAAATTACTCGTTTGTTTATAGATGTAGGTTTTCAATTAAAACCCCACCTATGAGCCAAATCTCATAATATCACTTCGTCTTCATCTATCCATCGTTTCTCATTATTCTAACCTAAAACCATCCACAGCCTGCCGCCGATTGCCCTAACCCAGAACCCAAATCAATGAGAAGAGAGAAAGATCAACGGGGATAAATTCTTGCCACGTAAGCACTTGGAGAAAAAACAAGTTGCCTAGGTGGACTTTTTCTTTACTACCAAAAAAATTTATTATTGATCTATTTATGAAGTTATCTATCTCTTCTTTTAGTATTTATGCTCACTTTTACTCAACATTAATAATAAGTTACATTAAGAATGTAAGTAAAAACAAGCATAAATAATAATATTTTTTCAATTAAACAAAATATAAAGATGGAAACAAAGAATAACATATATCGGGTTTGTTTAAACAAAAAATATATGATTAAATCTTATCAAATAAATTATCTACTTATTTTAACCAAAACTTAATAATAAGTTACATTTTGATGAAAAATTTAAAGAAATACACACATAAATAATAATATTTTTGTATATTAAATAAAATATAACGACACAAAGAGATAAATCAAGCGTTTGACAATCAATCGACTTTGAAAAATGAAATATATGAATTTATATATTAAACCTTCTCTTATTATACTTCTTTATAATATATATGTCTACCAGTTAAAATAGTTGTATATAAATAATTTTTTCATATAATAAAATAATTGTCAGAATATAACTTGATCGAAAAATAATAATAATTTCTTAAAAACATTTCTATTTATCCTGATTAAATGAAAACATATATTAATGTTCTACCTGAAATTTCCCAAAGGAAGAGTAATCATGTGCAATATTTTATAATTTGGTTTTTAAGTTCACATTAAAATATTTGATTTAGATGACTTGGTTGAGCATGCTCAATTGAGGTCATAAATAATATGTTAATAAATTCTCTTTTCGTATTTAGAGTTATTGTCGAGGATTATACATTAAAGTTTTCAAAATGACATAAGTATGAGTATTGACAAACTTTGACTTCATACATTAAGATGAGACACAATATATCTTAAAAAATGACACATGTGATTTGGTTGGCAATAATAAAACCTTTTTCAATATCAAAGTATCAAATAGGAATTTTCTATTTTGTAACAGTAAGCAAGTTGTATTTACAATAAATTTGTCTACAATACATCCAAGAATTCACATGTATGTGAAATGTCACAATATTTGTATGAATTCTAAAAAGTTTATAAAAAAATTCAAAAAATTATAAATCATCGTTAATTAATCTTATAGGAATTTAAAACTAAATTAGTGCCATATCAACAAATGGCTAGCTCTAAGTGGGCAAGTTCTAATTCTTGCTTATATAATTTTTTGTTTACTCTTTAAATTACCATTATTATAAATAAAATGTAAATTAAGTTAATAACACAGAATGCAACAATTTGGTTTGTTCCTATTCCTTTTCTCATACAAATTATCTCTATAAAAATAAAGTGCAACATTGAAAATAAAGAAATTGGATCAAGCCACATAAAAACAAACAATCCTCTCTTCTTATTTCCTCATAATCCTAAGATTTCTAGCATTTCTTTTCTCTATTTTTTCCAAACAGATACAGGAAAGGAAATAGTAAGGCATATTGAGTTTTTACTCTTTGTAAGAGAATATGAGTGTGGAGTTACATGAGACAATGATTAGATGAGATATAATTGAGCATCTGTAACATATGTTTGACGATTGACTAAAAAAGTTCATCCTATCATTGCGAAGATGAATTGAATGAAGTCGATGATTGCTCATTGCTCCCTCTTCACCCTTAATTTGTAGTTGACAACTGGTCTCTTTTTTCCTAGAGATATGTGGTTGTTTGCGGTTGACTGGTCATATTAAACTCTTCTTTCCATTTGTTTCTTAATTTCTTCCAGATTACAATGGCTTGATGGTAAAATTTTATGTTCAAATCAATGAATGTATTTCTCCCGGGTTTTCAGTTAGTTGTTTTATGGTTTTCTATATTGTATACTTTTATGTAAACATGTAATAGACAATTGGAATGGTTTATTGCTTGGACTTAGAGTATCTCTCCTTTGGTTGAATAATTGATCATTTTACTTGCCTATTGCATCCCAATTCCGTGGATGATAAAATGGAAAGCAGAGTTGTTAGGGTTGTTTATTATGTTCATGAGTGACATGTTACTACCTATATGATTATGATCTGGTCAGTAACTAAAACGTAGCAAGGGGTTATAAGTAGAAGGGAACACATGTGAGGTTTTATAAAGGTGCAAAGGAAAAAGAAAATGATGGTGGTAGTCTCTAAGTTGTCTATGTCGACGTTCTTTCAATTTCTACACGTTTGCAATGACATTTGTTTGTTTCCTTAGCATGAACTTTTTCCTAATTGAATCCCTAACTAAAACTCAAATTTGGCCTGATCGTTTTCTTGACAACAACTATTCGGATTGATGCATCAATTGTTTTCATGAATGAAGATTTTACAAGATACAATGTGTTGAGTTTTATTTAAGTATGCAACTTTTACAATTCGTCTATGTTGTTATTAGGTAAAAAAATTACACCATTGTTTTTTTGAAGGGGGTATGTAGTTCTCTACAAATATAAATTGTGTTTATATGCAATTTAGTTTGCTGAAAAAATATCATTTTAATAAAATAGTGACAACTAATGGTTCTATTTTTGATTGGTTATGCTAGAACATTTTGAAGATAAATTAAATGAATAAGTAGGAGATTGATGATGTGGGTGCTAATGTGTTTCCTCATCCTTCCAAAATTGCACAAGTAACTGATAGTGTACGATATTCGTGGGATTTAGAGCGCGACATAATAAATTATCATATAGCAACGTACGAGAAGGGAGAAGAATGAAAAGCTCTTTGCTTATTTTTTTTATTAATTGAAACATATTTGCTTATTTAATTTTGTTAAACTTCTTTGTCACTATTGGGAAAAAATCCAAAAGTACCACTGTTTAAAAAAAAAAATTCAAAAATACCACGCAACCCCAAAAAATTCCAAAAATACCACCCTTTTCAAAAACCGCCACCCCACCCTGCGGTTTACACGAAAACCGTTTGTCGGAGGCGCGGTTTTCTATGCAAACCGCGGGCCTAGGGGGCGGTTATAAAAAAAAAAAATTTTGACCAAACCGCTGGGTGGGGTGGCGGTTTTGGGTCAAACCGCCACCCCACCCAGCGGTTTGGTCCATTTTTTTTTTTTTCGATCAACTCCTAACTTCGGCCGAAACTTCAAACGAACGTAACTTTTCACTCGGGTATCCGATCGTAGCGATTTTTTTTTCATTTCGCATAACTTTTCAAGATCTACAACTTTTACTAGGATGAAATTTCCAAAACTGGAACTATTTGTGGATATACGGGACCTTGGGAATAACTTTATCTTTACTTTTCACAAATTCATGTATATTTTGAAATTATGATTATATTAAAAGTTGTAGATCTTGAAAAGTTATGTGGAATCAAAAAAATATTCATGAAATTCGGATTTTGGAGCACAAAGTTATGGCCGCCCAAAGTTTGACGAAATCAAAAAAAGGCTCGTTCGGGGTGGCAAATGACGTTTTTTCGAGACGAAGGCGGGACCCGGCGGTCTGCGGCTTGCAAGATCTCAAAAATTTATTCGGATTCAAAAAATGGAGGCCGCAAACTTTTTGAGATCTTGCAAGCCGCATACTGCCGGGTCTCGCATTTCGTCAAACTTTGGGGCCTCCATTTTTTGAATCCGAATAACTTTGCGGCCTCCATTTCGTCAAACTTTGGGGCCTCCATTTTTTGAATCCGAATAACTTTTTGAGATCTTGCAAGCTACAAATCGCCGGATCCCGCCTTCGTCTCGAAAAAACGTCATTTGCCACCCCGAACGAGCCTTTTTTTGATTTCGTCAAACTTTAGGCGGCCATAACTTTGTGCTCCAAAATCCGAATTTCATGAATTTTTTTTTGATTCCACATAACTTTTCAAGATCTAAAACTTTTAATACAATCATAATTTCAAAATATACATGGATTTGTGAAAAGTAAAGGTAAAGTTATTCCCAAGGTCCCGTATATCCACAAATAGTTCCTGTTTTGAAAATTTCATCCTTGTAAAAGTTGTAGATCTTGAAAAGTTATGTGAAATGAAAAAAAAGATCGCTACGATCGGATACCCGAGTGAAAAGTTACGTTCGTTTGAAGTTTCGGCCGAAGTTAGGAGTTGATCGGAAAAAAAAAAAAATTGGACCAAACCGCTGGGTGGGGTGGCGGTTTTGGGTCAAACCGCCACCCCACCCAGCGGTTTGGTCAAAAAAAAAAATTTTATAACCGCTCCCTAGGCCCGCGGTTTGCATAGAAAACCGCGCCTCCGACAAACGGTTTTCGTGTAAACCGCAGGGTGGGGTGGCGGTTTTTGAAAAAGGGTGATATTTTTGGAAATTTTTGGGGTTGGGTGGTATTTTTGAATTTTTTTTTTAAACAGTGGTATTTTTGGATTTTTTCCTCACTATTGTGTACTAAAAGATTAATAATATCTTATGTTTATATTCTAAATTGTGGGTTCGATAAGAACTTATAAATAAATAAATAAATAAAGATCTACCGAGAGCTCATTTAATAAAATCAAAATTTCATAAAAAACGAAAGATATAAAAGTGTTTAACAATACCTAAAATCAAGTAAGTTAGATTAATAATTCAATGTATAATAGTTTAACATACATAAATCATAAAAAAAACAATAGAACGAAAACTAAAACACCAATACGAATGCGCCGCCCAACGGGCGGGTAAAAAGCTAGTGTCGTTTTAGAGATAATTAGTACCGTAATAAGCCACAATTCTAGCGATATAAGTATCAATTATATAAACAATAATAATTGAACTTAACAGATCAAAACATGTATTTTTATCGTTTAATCTAAACCTTGCAGTATACTTCACCATATATTGCTTCAATAATAACATGTCATATATCCTTGACCAGCTGGTGTAGTTACAGGGGTATAATATACACATCCATAAAGTACAATTAACAACATTGTTTTCATAATGCATGTTCAAAGTGAGGCATGTAAGAATTAAGATGTTGTGATCAAACTGGATAGGCCTCAATAATGGCGGGTAAAGCAGGGATCCTGATGACTCTGTAGCGAGGGAAGCCTCCTTTCTCCAGCAACACTTTCCATTGTCGCTCAGTCCTCTCTTTCCCTGCTGTGTGGGCAATCATCAGAAGATCAAACACCAAACCCACCTCGCCGAAACCTCCAGATTCCTCTTTCTGATCATCTTCCGGCAGCACTATCTCCACTATTATCACCTTCCCTCTTCTCTCCGGTATTGCTTTCCGGCACTTGTTCAGAATTTCAACACATTTATCGTCCTCCCAGTCATGCAATATCCACTGCAGTAATTAATAACCCTGATTAATAGTTAATAATAATAATAATTTTTTAATCGGTGCCCCATTGCTCCACTGCAGTATTTATTAGGGTTAGTGGGTCGACCCTAATAAATATACTACTTTTCTAAAAAATTACAAATTGGTACCCAAAATTATTTTTTTTACATTTTAGTACCTAAATTTTATTGTTTTTACAAATAAGTCCAAAAAATGTGATGGTAAAATTACGTTTTTGGTACCCGAAAATTTTTCTTTTTATAATTTAGTACCTAAACTTTTAAAATTTTACAAATAGGTCTAACGTGTTTGTATGATGCTAAAGGTTATAGGGTCAAAAAGTGACCGATCCTAAATTGACCCGACCCTATCTGATCCTGACCCGACCCTAAGCCGACCCGACCCTAAACTGACCCTATAGACAAAATGACCCAACCTGACCTTAAGTGTCGGGGAGGGTTGGGGCAGGTCAATGAGTTTTAAGGGTCAAACTTACACCCCTAAAATTAACATTAATCTATATATTTTTGTCCATACAATAGTCACTTGAGAATGTGTACCTGGAAAATCTTTAAGTACTTATAAGCCGAGTAGACTTTGAAACCATATTCGATTAGATTAAGAAGAACCATATCAAGATAAGATGAGGCTTGTACTAATCAATTCCCCCACTTCATTCCACAGAAGAAGAAGAAAAAAAACACGATTAAAAGAATCACTTACCTTCATGAGCACAGCATCCGCTTCAGGAACCTCTTGGAACATATCCCCGCCCACATGCTCCACCCCTTTATACTCCGGCGCCGTCCCGACAACGTGCGGCAAGTCGAAGTTGATCCCTCGCACGTGCGGGTGCGCTCGCACGATCTCCGCCAGGTTCCCGCCCATCCCGCCTCCCACGTCCACCAGCGACCCGACCCCGCCCAACCCGTCCCCGTAACCGGACAGAAACGCCTTCATCACCACCTTGGCCGTGCTGGCCAGCCCGTCGTTGAAAACCCGGTTCAGCTCCGGATCCCGAGACCCGACTTCCCAGACACTGGACCCATGGGCCTTCTCAAACGCCAGCCCACCCTCTCGAACGCATGGGCCCAGCTGGTGCCACGGGGCCAGGAGCAGCGGGTGGTTCTCCATCAACACCATCGGGCCCAGGTTCAGCTCCGAGCTTCGGAGCAGCCACCTAGACACGTCGTTCAGCCCGTAGCGGGTCTCGTACGCGTCGTCCACGTCATCGTGGTCCTGCTTATGTGGCGTGTGGTGAGCTGTGAAGAGGCCCTTGTGGACTAGGAATCTCATGATTCTGGACAAGTAGGATGAATCTGGAGATGGTGAGTCGATCCCTGGGGAGGGGAAAAAAAAAAAAAAGAAACTTCAATTTAGATGAAGAAAGTTTAAAAATTTGCAGAGCAAGAAAGAGAATTCACTCACCGGAAGCCAACTGGGAAATGGTGACGGGAGAGCCATGAGAGTGGATGATGTCAGCGATGCCGAGCTGGACGGCGGATTTGAGAGCCATGGATTCTACGAAGCCGAACATGAGCTTCCATATCTCGGCTTGCCCTCGGACCAGAGCCTCCGGTTGATCATCGCCACTACTGTTACTGTGGCTCCCCATTTCCTTTTTCCGCACTATGAAAGGGCGCGCAATTAAATATTAATAATGGAATGGAAGGATGAATCTCTTGCGGATATGTGTATATATAGAGACAACTTACCAAATGCAATTGGTTTTTGGGTTAAATTATATGATGATAATTGATAGGTCATTGACGTTTTAGCCTCCTCCATTAATCGATTGATATTTGATAACGGATAAATTGATCAAAAACTATCGTATAGGCTTGGTTATATAAAAATGTTCACAAACATTTAAAACGTAGAAAGTGTACATATCATTTCGTCTCTTTATGTCGATAATTATATTTAAAATGTTTAGTTCGATTGCTGACTTACGGCAAAAAAATAATAATAAAACAATATATAGTGTATGTAACAAAACATTAAACCTTCGCTCTTATTTACAACAAGCTAATTGTGTATTATGAATGAAAAATACGAATTATAAACACTGATTACTTTTTTTTTTTTTATTATGATATGTTTGCGATCTTTCTGCTACGTTTTATATGTTTATGATCATTTTAATCAATTACCACACTTGTAGTGGATTACCATATATATTTTTGGGAAATAATGACTATAGAAGATGGCACTCTTGTCAGGATGATCAATTTTCCATGCGTTTGGTAAACGATAGCGATTTCATTTCCCCCTTTTCTTAATCATTGTTAGTGGAAAATAGAACGGAAAATATTTATCTAAAAAACAAAGTACAAAAGACAATATTGCTTGTGACGCAGAAATAAAAAATAGAAGGGTGAGTCAGGCTTCTAGACGAGGTAAAGTGCAGGAAACTCACTAACTTCTTTTTATTTAAATAATGAATTCTTTGAAAATATTTATCATGATTTTAACCTCAATTAGATTATTATATGTATAGTTGAAGTGAAAATAGCATGGTCCATAAAACCGTATCGTGCCGGCGGTTCAACCACAAAATACCAGTATCGGAGGCTAAACCGGTAGACGGTATTTAACGATATAAATGGTTGAACTACGGTTAAACCACAATTTTTTCATAAAATATCCTATCACTGACTTTTCCGATATGGTGTCTGGTACGGTTTCATGAACCATGAAAAATAGGCTAGATTTGTAATAAAAATAGACTAGGTTTCATGGAAAATAAAATATCTGAATTTTTTTAGAATCATGGTCATTAAAAAAAGTAACTTAACATTGTTGCTATCTAAGTCTCAAGCCCAAGTGTTTAAAAATATTTGCAATATTGAGCCACGTGAAACACACTATTCGGTATTTAATAGGTGACAAAACCATAAATAATTATTTGATAGGATATATTAAGATAGATATCATATGAATGCGTCTTCCAAGTTTTTTCAAAATATGAGAACACATTGCGGTTGGTTAAAATGTTTCTTATGAATATTAAAAAAAAAATTGGACCTACCTTACATAAAATCTTGGTTATGCCACTAGTTATTAGGCCAACCTTTGAGTTCAATAAAAAAAAATTATGCTCATGTATTATTGTATGTTTACAAAAAAATAACTATCATATTTTTTCTTTGTGTCTTTTAACTATGCAACGTTAACAAATGTATCGTTTTTTCAAAGTTTTCTTCACATGATTGTTAAAGGGATGTGAAATGACTAATTTTTATTTCGCGCATGGTGGATCTGTGAGTCAATCGACCCACTGATCAAACCCAGTTTGCTCTTTCTCTTCAGGCCAACTCGCACAGTTTTGCTTCTTATGTTATAATTTTAGTGCCTGTGAGCTTGATGGGAAAGATCAAGGCCTCATTAGGGTTTACATAATATGAGTTTGTGATTGTATTTGATATAAGTGTGGATATCGATACAGAGATAGTAGAACTGTAGAAGAAGTTGTAGATAATGAAGGATCTGATGCGCCGCAGTTATATGGGCGTGAGTAAGAGCATGAACAAACTGACTCTGGATGTTCACCCCATAGGTATTATCAGGGTGCGTCACCGTTAAGTAAAGTAGACGCCCACCCAAATGTGGGTAAGCTGCAAGAGCAGAACGCGTGAAATGATTTTGGCCATACCCCGGTGACTCCGGAGTCTGCAAGAATGTCAAGAAGGTATTTTCTTTCACTAAGGTCGAGCCCTTCAGAGGTGCGTGAGACTTCCAAACCCAAAAAATATTGCAAGTTTCCCAAGTCCTTGATATTGAACCACTAATGAAGAAAGGCCTTGACATGAGAAATGAACTAAAAACTAGTGCCTTCCTGAATAACATCATCGACGTAGATCAACGCAATGACGTGAATACTCATGCCCCAAAAGATAAAGCAGGAGTGGTCAACATGATATGGTCGAAACTGCAATGCACAGAGAGCCTAAGTAAACTTGGTGTACTAGTTGCTAAAAGTCTAACGAAGACCATAGAGAGACTTATGCATGCAACAAACTCAAGTTTCACCAGGTGTTGTAAAACCTAAGGTATGCGCATGTAGAACTCTTCATCTAAGTTGCCATGGAGAAAAACATTGTTGACATCTAACTGATGGATATGTAAACCTTTTCTTACTGTGACCGTGAGAAGATAACAAACAGTGACAAGCTTGGCGACAGGCGCAAAAGTGTCATGAAAGTCGACACCTTTTACCTGTGTATACCTTTTTGCAACCAATCATGCTTTATAGTGTTCAAGTGTATCATCTGGACGAAACTTGACTTTGTAAACCCATTTTGACCTAATGACACTCTAGCACGGAGGTAGAAGAACAAGGCTCCATGTGCCATTTTCTCAAGAGCTAAAACCTCTGTCGACATTGCTTGACACCGACATTCTTCTTTTACCACTTTAAAGAAATTGCAAGGCTTTGGATGACGGGCAATTGCGGAAAGAAAAGCAAGATAATTAACAGAAAAATTATTATAAGAAAGATGAGTTGACAAGGGATAATGAACTAAGTAAGCTTGACTTTCCATGTAATAAATATCCATATGCTTGGGCTGGGTGGGATGTCAATCACTCTGGTGCAACTGTGGTGTTGGCGCGGCATGATAAAAACTACGTGTAAGCTCTGGGCTAGGCGAGTGTGTCTCGGTAGGAGGAGTGCAAACCTCACCCAAAGGAGAAACAGGCTCCGGCAGATTGACTGGTGAATAAGGCTGTTGGGGATGAAGGCTCAATGGAAGAAGTAGGCCCATTTGAGGAAGTTGGCTCCGCCGAGCTAACAGATGGACTGAGGGTCCGTGTTGGACTGTCAGAGGGAGAGCTTGGAGTCATCCCATAGGAAGCTCAGTCGTGGGCTTGAGAGGCTCGAGATGGAGGCATCCGATTCTGGGGAAGCCCATAAAGGACCAATTCGTCATCATGGTCCTCAACTGGCTGGGTGAAAATGCTCCCAGGAATCCAAGGGAGCTGCTGCATATTTGACCGAAAAAGAAAAAATGACTTGTGAAGTATGACGTTGAGACCAATGAATATGCGCCAGTTAACAAAATCATATGCCCTATTGAATATGAGCCCTTCTGACTAGCCGCATACCCAATGATTTAATCTAATTATCCAATATGTGCATGAGTATCTTTGTAATATACAAGACATCCAAAGAACCTCAAGTGAAGATAATAAGTTTTCTTCCCAAATAGTGTCTCATATGGTGTCCTACCTGTTTCCTTAGTCGATAAACAATTGATGAGATAAGCTGCAATTAGGATACACTTTCCCCAAAACCGGATGGGTAAAAAAGCATGGAAACAAAGAGCACGAGAGGTCTCCAACAAGTGACGATGCTTACGCTCCACACACCATTATATTGCGGTGTATCTGTGCACGAAGTCTGAAGAAGGATACCCTCCATTCCATAAAACTCACGCAAAACTAGTGTTGAACTCAGGATAATTATTAGCCGGAATACACTTCACATGTCTACAAAACTAGGTACAAACAAGATTGCAAAAGAACTGCAGATAGCGACCAACTTAATATTTAAACTTGACAAGACAAACCCACCCGCCATGGCTGAAATCATCAATTATGGTAAAAAAATAATGTGCACCACTAAGAGATGGGGTATAATATCCTCCCCAAACATCCAAATGTAGTATCTCAAAATTATCCGAAGTACGAATACCACTGGCTAGAAAAGGTGTGCGATTTACCATTGACAGGAAAAGGCATGCGAGTATGCTTAGCTCCAAAACAAGAATAACTGAATTCCCTATCTGATGCTACTGGAACATAAACAACATGATTAATTTTCTCCATAATTGTGGCCGGTGGATAACCCAAACCAACGTGCCATAAAGCTCCATGAACTTCCTGCCCCTTCATCATAGCATGAGTCCGAGTACTACGACATCCGAATAACGGCGGGAAGAAGAGACCATCACGAATCTCCCCCTTCCCAATCATTTTATTCGAGAGTAAACCATGTATTATGTAGAAGTCATCAATAAATATGAAAGCCGCATTGTCTCCTGACAAAGGCGGCTTACTAATAACATATTGCAGCAAAATTCCAGCACATGTAAAACATGACTAAGCACCCGTCTATCACTTAGGTGAATTGACCCTATCCACTTAACCAGTATACTGGCCCCGTTTGGAATCCAAACGGACTGACTTGGCAAACCAAAAGAATGCTATAATAAGCATTCATCATTCATAGTTATATGTTCGTTGCAGCATGGATCAATTAGCCATTCTGAAGCATTTGAGAAAGAAATCATACCAGCCATATGACTCATAGGATCAGTTGCCCCTTGAATTGTCCACCAAAAAATGCTTCAAATTTTTGTACTGTAAATCCAGAATGAGGACTGGATTCCGCATGAGCTTGCGCGACTTGGGAGGCTTTTGGCTCCCAAGGCTATCCGCGAGGAGCATAATTATCCCGACCACCAGAATCATGACTTCGATGTTAGTTAGGCTTTTCGCGTTGCTTTTTACTCGAAGAATCACGTGGAGGCCACCCAATCACCTCAAAACATGTCTCACAAAGATGACTTATCTTAAGGCAATGATTACACAACATCCTTGCCCTTTCCCTCGGCCCATGTTCCCATGAATCGTACCTTCGAAACCAGGCTTTCTGGTGTCT